AGCTTGAGACTCCGCCTCAAAAAAAAAGAAAAGAAAAGAAAAGAAAATTGGTTACAACCCCGACCCAGTAGCATTCATGCCAATTTATGGTTGGAATGGTGACAACATGTTGGAGCCAAGTGCTAACATGCTTTGGTTCAAGGGATGGAAAGTCACCTGGAAAGATGGCAATGCCAGTGGAACCATGCTGCTTGAAGCTCTGGATTGCATTCTGCCACCAACTCATCTGCCTCTGCAGGATGTCTACAAAATTGGTGGTATTGGTACTGTCCATGTGGACTGAGTGGAGACTGGTATTCTCAAACCCGGCCAGGTGGTCACCTTTGCTCCAGCTAATGTTACAACTGAAGTAAAGTCTGTTGAGATGCACCATGAAGCTTTGAGCGAAACTCTTCCAGGGGACAACGTGGGCTTTAATGTCAATGATGGTCATTGTGAGGCTCAGCACCTGTAGCTCAAGCAGCAGAGATACCAGCCCTATACACCAGAGCTAGGTTCGAATCTAGCCCAGGCCCGCCAAAACAACAATGACAACTACAACCAAAAATTAGCTGGGCATTGTGGCAGGCGCCTATAGTCCCAGCTACTTGGGAGGCTGAGGCAAGAGAATCACTTAAGCCCAGGAGTTGGAAGTTGCTGGGAGCTGTGATGCCATAGCACTCTGCCAAGGGTGACAGCTTGAGACTTTGTCTCAAATAAATAAATAAATAAATAAGATGTTCGTTGTGGCAGCATTGCTGGTGATAGCAAAAATGACCCACTGATGGAAGCAGCTGGCTTCACTGCTCAGGAGATTATCCTAAACCATCCAGGCTAAATTAGTACTGGCTATGCTCCTGTACTGGATTGTCACACAGCTCACTTTGCCTGCAAGTTTGCTGAGCTGAAGGAAAAGATTGACCGCCGCTCTATTAAGAAGCTGGAAGATGGCCCTAAATTCCTGAAATCTGGTGAGGCTGCCATTGTCGATATGGTTCCTGGCAAAAACCCATGTGTGTTGAGAGCTTCACAGACTGTCCTCCTCTGGGTCGTTTCACTGTGACATGGGACAGACAGTTACCGTTGGTGTCATCAAAGCAGTGGACAAGAAGGCTGCTGGAGCTGGCAAGGTCACCAAGTCTGCCCAGAAAGCTCAGAAGGCTAAATGAATATTATCTCTAATACCTGACACTCGAAGGGACTGTAACAAACTAGTCAACATATGGAGGTGGTCAAGGTAAAGAACCAGGTCTACCTGGGCACAGTGGCTCACACCTATAATCCCAGCACTCTGGGAGGCCAAGGTGAGTGGATCGCTTGAACTCATCATGAGCTCAAGACCAGCCTGAGCAAGAGTAAGACCCAATCTTTAAAAAAACAGCAGGGTGTTGTGGTAGGTGCCTATAGTCTCAGCTACTTGGGAGGCTAAGGCAAGAGAATCGCTTGAGCCCAAGAATTTGAGGTTGCTATGAGCTGTGACAAAAAGGTACTCTGCAGGGGGCAAAAAAGTAAGACTCTATTTCAAAAAAAAAAAAAAAGAACTAGGTCTACTTAATGATAAATACATGTGGTGTGTGTCTAGTCTATGAAAATTAGATCAACTTGAGGTGGCCTGTGTAGGGAGGTGGTCACCTATGGAGGCTCTACTGTAATTTGGTACATATTTTGGTCACTGATATGGTTTTACTTGTCCACTCAAAAGCTTGATCAGACATTAGAATACTTAATATCCTTTCCAAAAAGTTGCAAAATGCTATTATATTGAATTCCATTGTACATACTGAGAAAAATTGTTAGAAATGTATTGCATTTTTTTTTAAGAGACAGTGTCACTTTGTCTCCCTCGGTAGAGTGCTGTGGCATCACAGCTCATGGCAACCTCCAACTTCTGAGCTTAGGCAATTCTCATGCCTCAGCCTCCTGAGTAGCTGGGACTATAGGCGACCACCACAGTGCTCAGCTATTTTTTGTTGCAGTTCAGCCAGGGCTGGGTTCAAACCTGCCACCCTCTGTATATGGGGCTGGCACCCTACTCACTGAGCCACAGGTGCTGCCCCAAAATGTATTGCTTTTAAGTAAGTAATTTAAAATCACAGGCACCAGGCTGGGCACGGTGGCTCAGCCTGCAATACCAGCACTCTGGAAAGCCAAGGCAGGTGGATTGCCTGAGCTCATAGGTTTGAGACCAGTCTGAGCCAGAGCAAGACCCAGGGGCTGTTTGGTGCCTATAGCTTAGTGGCTAGGGTGCCAGCCACATATATCAGAGCTGGCAGGTTTGAACCCAGCTCGGGTCCACCAAACAACAATGACAACTACAACCAAAAAATAGCCAGGTGTTGTGGCAGGCACCAATAGTCCCAATTACTTGGGAGGCTGAGGCAAGAGAATCATTTAAGCCCAAGAGTTTGAGGTTGCTGTGAGCTGTGATACCATAGCACTCTACCAGAGGCAAGAAAGTGAGACTCTGTCTCAAAAATAAATAAATCAATAAAAATAGCTAGGCGTTGTGGTGAGCACCTATAGTCCCAGCTACTTGGAAGGCTAAGGCTAGAGAATTGCTTGAGCCCAAGAGTTTGAGGTTGCTATGAGCTATGATGCCACGGCACTCTACCGAGGATGACAAATGAGACTGTCTCAAAAAATAAAATAAAATAACAGCCACCACCTTACATTGGAGAAGCAGCCTAAGTGGTTGGTTCATAGTGTGAATTTTGGAGGCAAAACTATGGATCAAATCATACCTTTGTGTCACTTGGTAGTTGTATTAATTAGCATTTCTGTGCTTCGTTTTTCTTAACTTTATTTTTATTTACTTATTTTATTTTTTTGAGACACAGTGCCTGGCTATTTTTAGAGACAGGATCTCACTCTTGCTCAGGCTGGTCTGAACTCCTGAGCTAAAGCATAAAGCAATCCACTTGCCTTGGCCTTCAAGAGTGCTAGATTATAGGTGTGAGCCACTTCACCCGGCCTATATGCCTCATTTTTCTTAAACGAGAAATGGGGATATTATTATTGCTACTTTCCTTAGATGGTTGTTATGGTATTAAATTAGTTGGTTTTTGTAAAGCCACTAGATCAGTGTCTATCTAGCACTTAAGAGTCTTTTGAGGCTCTGTGCCTGTGGCTCAAGTGGCTAAGGCGCCAGCCACATACTCCTAAGGTGGCAGGTTTGAATCTAGCCCAGGCCCGCCAAACAACAATGATGGCTGCAACCAAAAAAAATAGCCAGGCGTTGTGGCGGGCGCCTGTGGTCCCAGCTACTTGGGAGGCTGAGGCAAGAGAATCACTTGAGGCCAGGAGTTGGAGGTTGCTGTGAGCTATGATGCCATGGCACTCTACTCAGCGGGACAGCTTGAGGCTCTGTCTCAAAAAAAAAAAAGAGTCTTTTGAGTGTTTGGTCTTAAGATAATGAAGTTTACACATGCATACACAAAGTATCTAAAGAGGAATAGCTTTTCTGTTCCTGGCTTGTTCCTGTTACAGCTTACAGATAAATAGTTACGTCTTATTCCTTCATTATATGCCCTTTTTAGCTCCTATAAGAAGCTTTTTATAGGCCCTCAAAAAATGCGCAGTGTAATTATGGAGAGAATTTTAGAGAACCCAACCTAAAGAAATGAAATGACTTGATGACTTGTCTAAGATTTTACAGATGTCTGGTGCCAGCATCTAGAATCGAGCCCAAGCCTCTTTGCCTTGCTTCATTTTCCCTTATTTAATGCTAACTGAATCAAATAATATTGCAGGAGACAAGCAGGAAAGATTTATTAACTATTTATAAAATCTGATCAGTATATATAGAATAACAGTCCATTTGGGCTTTTTTTTTTCCTTAAGGTGCAATGAAAGCCTTTCACACTTTTTGTGTTGTTCTTTTGGTATTTGGGAGTGTCTCTGAAGCCAAGTTCGATGATTTTGAGGATGAGGAAGATATAGTAGAGTATGATGATAATGACTTTGCTGAATTTGAGGATGTCATGGAAGATTCTGTTACTGAATCTCCTCAACGGGTGATAACCACTGAAGATGATGAAGATGAGACCACTGTGGAGTTGGAAGGACAGGATGAAAACCAAGAAGGAGATTTTGAAGATGCAGATACCCAGGTGAGATTCTTTTCTGTTGATTTCTTGGGAAATCAAAAGAATAGGAAAATTTGTAACTAGTGCTTTTCCCAAACATTAAAATTCAGACCCAGATCTTGGGAGACCTATACTGTCTGGAACCTTTATTTTCATTCAGTAGATAAAGCTCTTCTAAATGTTTTGTGGTTTGTTTCCACCCTTTACATTGATCAAATGGATTGTGTTCTTGTCTTCTGTTGAATCCCTGGCTGGGGGAAGGGCTGGAAAATAGATACTATGTGGATGGGAGTTGTGTTTTTTATAACTTTGGATTCAGAAGCATGGGGAGTCATCATTTTGGTGTTTGCTTTTCTGTGGTATAATTGACAAATTAAAATTGTGTATATTTAAAATGTACAACATGATGTTTTGATATGCTTTCTGTAATTGTTACACAATTAAGCTGATAAACATACATATTCATCACCTCACATAGATACCTTTGTGTGTATGCCTGTGTGGTGAGAATACTTGATATCTGCTTGGTTAGCCATTTCCAGCATGTGGGACATTAATAACTAGAGTCATACTGCACGTTATTTATGTTTCTAGAACTTATTCATCATAAACTGAAAATTTATACCTTTTGGTCATTTTGTTGAAAACATGTAATATCTGTGTTCTGTGCTTGCTGCTTACACATTCTTCTACGAATGTTGCCTATAAAATGAGACTTAACTGTTGGTGACATTTGTAGAGGAAAACAGATGGTGCCTCATTTTTGCAGGAGGGAGATACCGAGAGTGAGCCATATGATGATGAAGAATTTGAAGGTTATGAAGACAAACCAGATACTACTTCTAACAAAAATAAAGACCCAATAACAATTGTTGATGTAGGTATACAGAATTCCAAATTCTATACTAACCAACAAAATATCTGGTCGTTAACCCCAGAAATATAATTAGTGAATGTAGCTGGTATTGATGTAATAGCAGGAGCTGGGAAAGAGCTTGCCATCAATTCTTCTGATAAAAATCCACTCCTAGATAGCTGGGCATTGTGGTAGGCACCCGTATAGTCCCAGCTGCTTGGGAGGCTGAGGCAAGAGAATCACTTAAACCCAAGAGTTAGAGGTTGCTGTGAGCTGTGATGCCATGGTACTCTACCGAGGGTGACATAGTAAGACTCTGTCTCAAAAAAAAAAAAAATCCACTCCTAGAGAACCAACTCCTATTTTTTATTCTAGCCCTCCCGGTTTTAGTTATATGTGAATAAGAGGATATACAGTACATTAGATTTATTTTGAGGTGGGACTCAGGGACAAGTTTAATATAAAAGGTTTTCTAGCTTTTTATCCCATTAGATTGTCCTTATATTTCCTTAAAGAATCTTTTATAAAAAACTGACCTAGAAAAATGGGCCTATTTTTCAAATTATAACCATGTTCAGTCACAGTTATCTTATGGGTTTTCTCATTGTTCACCCATGAGTTAAACTCCCTCCTACATCCTCAGCCAACATTAAATGGAATGATTTTGCTTCTTTAGGTTCCTGCACACCTCCAGAACAGTTGGGAAAGTTATTATCTAGAAATTTTGATGGTGACTGGTCTACTTGCCTATATCATGAATTACATCATTGGGAAGAATAAAAATAGTCGCCTTGCTCAGGCCTGGTTTAACACACATAGAGAGCTTTTGGAGAGCAACTTTACCTTAGTGGGTAAGTTAGGTCAATGTGAGTCCAGCTTCCTGCTTAAAAATAATCTGGTAATGATGGTTTATTCCTCACAATGTAAGTGTGTAACTGTTTTTAGGGAATGCTGAAGAGGATGCATTTTATTTTCTCACAAGGATCCTCTTTTTGTAAGTTTATATACTGAATAAATTGCATTTATGTAATTTCTTGTCTTTCATTAATCAACATTATAATTGCCAAACAGCATCTGATTAGAATGATATAATCAATGTTCCCAAAACAAGTTGGTAAAATTCTGGCTGAAACCAAACAATTTTGACATTAGGTAGCTTGGTATGCTTTCAATTCATAAAATTGGAAGTCCCTTAAAATTCTTTCAAGTTCTGGGCACTTTGTTTGGATCCACTGATGAATATACATGCATGTACTTAGAGAAACTCTTATAGTTATATGGTATAGGGAATGAAGTGTACTCTCCTCTTACCTCTGTCTGGCAGCTAGCACTTTATTATGCTGGGTACTTTGCACATGTTGTTTTTTATTTACTTTTTGTAACAACATTGTCATTTGGGTTTAGATTCATTTTCTTAAGAAGGAAATTGAAAGGATAGAAATATTAAAACTTAATCTAAGCTGGCCAGATGTGGTGGCTCATGCCTGTAATCTTAGCATTCTGGGAAGCCAAAATGGGTGGATTGCTTAAGCTCAGGAATTCAGTTCAAGACCAGTCTGAGCAAAAGTGAGACCCCATCTCTCCTAAAAATAGAAAAACCAGCTGGGTGTTGTAGCGGGCGCCTGTAGTTCCAGCTACGGAGGAGGCTGAAGCAAGAGGATCACTTGAACCCAGAGTTTGAGGTTGCTATGAGCTATGACGCCATGGCGCGCAACTCAGGACCACAGAGCAAGCTTATAGAAGCACAGTTGTCTAAGCCATTAAATAATGGTGGGGTGCTGGGGGCTGTGCTGGTAGTTCCAAATACTAGTGAAGGAGTACATGCTTTTCGAAGTACGTGCTCTCTCCATTCACTATAGTATTTCAGAGTATTTCTTAATCCAGAAATTAGGAAAAAAATAAGTAACTTGTGGCTCCTTCCACTTCTTTTTCCTTGTTTTCAATTGGTGTGTCAGTATATTTTACTTGGTGACGCTGAATAGTTTCTTTTGTACACTTAATGAATTAAATGAAGAGAGAAGTTATTGGAATTTGAGCTTTTTCTAGGTCTAAATACAACTCAATGCCATTGATAAGACTCAATTATTTAGCAGGAAATTGGCAATAAAACACAGGAAGTATTGAATAAGTTTGTATTATTAGTATTTTTTATTCACTGCATAGGAGATTTTTTTTTTTAACTTTTGGTGGAAGCCCAGGTGTGGTGGCTCACACCAATAATCCTAGCACTCTGGGAGGCTGTGGCAAGTAGATTGCCTTAGCTCAGCAGTTCCAGACTAGCGTGAGCAAGAGCAAGACCCCATCTTTGCTAAAAATAGAAAAACTAGCCAGGCATTGTGGTGGGCACCTTTAGTCCCAGCTAGTCAGGAAGCTGAGGCAAGAGGATCATTTGAGCCCAAGAATTGAAGGTTTCAATGAGCTATGACACTACAGCGCTCTACCCAGGGTGACCCAGTAAGATTCTGTCTCAAAAAAAAAAAAAAAAGAAAAAAAAGAAAAGAAAACAATTAAGTGGAACTCTATTGTCTGGCTCTCTCGACCTGTCTTTTTAGTTCCTAATGCATGATGATAACAGATGATTTTTTAATTTTAGACTGATATATTTGAACTGCCCTAGGTTTTGTGTTTGCTTGCTGAATTTCTACCTAATACAACTAGCTTAAAAAAAAGAAAAAGTAGAAGCTGGGTGAGGTGGCTCACATTTGTAATCCTAGCATTTGGGAGGTCAACACAGGTGGACTGCCTGAGCTCACAGCTTCAAGACCAGCCTGAGCCACAGTGAGACCCCACCTCTGGGGCATGTGGTGGGTGCCTTTAGTCCCAGCTACTTGGGAGGCTGAGGCAAGAGAATCACTTGAACCCAAGAGGTTGCTATGAGCCTATGCTGCCACGGCACTCTACCAAGGATGATAAAGTGAGACTCTGTCTCAAAAAAGAAAAGAAAAGAAAATCTTTTGGCAGAGATATTTAAACTGATTTTCTTCCATTTTCTGTCCACTTAAGAGATTTATGCTCCAAGCTGGCCATTATTAAACTAACAAGTATGTGCTAGGGTCTCTAAGTTTTTATATGGAGATTGCAAAGTTTTAAAAGTAAAAGGAACCATGCCAGTCTGTTTTAACTCCTGTCTCAAAGGAGAGTTCTGTAAGATAGCAAAGTATTTCTACCTGAAAGCTATGATTGTTTTGGGACAAGGGTGGAGGAGATTGTTAGACCCCAACATTTTCAGTCAATCACTTTAAGTGGTTTTACCCCTAGGAGATGATGGAACTAACAAAGAAGCCACAAGCACAGGAAAGTTGAACCAGGAGAATGAGCACATCTATAACCTATGGTGTTCTGGTCGAGTTTGCTGTGAGGGCATGCTTATCCAGCTGAGAGTAAGTGGGGAACTTATGATACAGTGTAAATCTTCCCTTATTTTTTTTCTTTTTTCTGCCATGAGTCATAATCCTCCAAATTCATTGTTGCATCTGTTTATGTTTGACTTGAAGGCTACAAATTATGAGGTCATTAAATCTGAAATGTCTGATTTCACATCAGAAGTTTAGTTTATTGGCTTGGCGCCTGTGGCTCAAGTGGCTAAGGCGCCAGCCACATACACCTAAGGTGGCGGGTTCGAATCCAGCCCAGGCCCACAAACAACAATGACGGCTGCAACCAAAAAATAGCCGGGCATTGTGGCGGGTGCCTGTGGGCCCAGCTACTTGGGAGGCTGAGACAGGAGACTCGCTTGAGCCCAGGAGTTGGAGGTTGCTGTGAGCTGTGATGCCATGTCACTCTACCCAGGGGGACAGCTTGAGGCTCTGTCTCAAAAAAAAAAATAAAAAAGAAGTTTAGTTTATTATATCCCCAACAAGAAGCAGTACAATTAATCAAAGTGTGTGCCTAAACTATCAACAGAGTTTTGTCATCTTAATAACAAAAAGTGTATGCCAGCAGCAAAGAAGCTTGGAGAGCAAGTGATAATGAAATTGTAAAAGGCATTTTCTACAGCTTATTGAGAATTAAATATATTTTTTCTTGCAAAAAGGGGTCCAAAGCATGGATGAAGTAGTATTCAATTGGTCAAGGACAGGTGAATATGATGGATGACAGAGTTTCCAAGTCTAGCTTCTGTAGTATAAGCCGCATTGTTTGTACAATAGCATTGTCTTGCAAGAGTATTGGCCTTCCTTTATTGACCAGTCTTGGTTGCTTAATCACAAGCATCCTCACTTCATTCAGTTAATTGCAGTGACATCTGCTATAATCAACTGACCAGGTTTCATGAAGCTGTAGTAAACAATAACAGTGCTGGACCACCAAACAGACACCATTAACTTTTTTTTGATTAATAATTGCTTTGGTCTGTGTTCAGCACATCGTCTTTTTCCACCCTTTGTGCCTAATGCTTGCAATCTTCAAAAAGAATCCATATTTCATCACATATAATGATACAGTGTAGAAATGGTTTTCTTTATGTTGTGACAGCAATGAAAGGCAAGCTTTGAGATGATTTCTTTTCTGATACTTATTTAATGCATGTGGAATCCATCCATTCAACAGCTTTACCTTGCCAATTTGTTTCAAACATCAAATCTTGCTGCTAATTCACACACAGGTTGAGATGGATTCTGTTCCACTACAGTTTTCAATTCAACCATTATCCACCTTGGTCTCAGATCTCTCACATGGCTCATTTTCAAGATTAAAATCACCAGGCTGGGTACCCGTAGCTCACTGGTTAGGACACCAACCACAGGCACCAGAGCTGGTGGGTTTGGGGACTGCTAAACAAACAAACAACAAAAAAAAATAACTGGACATTGTCAGGGGCACCTGTAGTCCCAGTTACTAGGGAGGCTGAGACAAGAGAATGGCTTGAGCCCAAGAGTTTGAGGTTGCTGTGAGCTATGATGCCTCAGCACTGTACACAAGGGGACAAAGTTAGACTCAGTAGAAAAAAAGATTAAAATCACCAGAATGCAACTTCTCAAACCATCAATGTACAGTAGCGTTCATTAGCCACATCCTTCCCAAACACTTGGCTGATATTTCAAGCTGTCTGTACTCCATTTATTCCACGACAGAACTCATATTCAAAAATAACACAAATTTTTGACTTAACCAGGGTTTTACAAAAATTGCTCTGAAAAAAAAATTGAAAGATAATTACAAGCCAAAATGTACATTTGAAAAGATGAGGATGTACCTTCACTACTAAAAGGGAAAAAACCTGGCTGCGTGTGGTGGCTCGCGCCTGTTGTCCCAGCACTGTAGGAGGCTGAGGCAGGTGGATCGCCTGAGGTCAGCTGAGTTCCAGACCAGCAGAAGACCAGCATGAGCCAGAGTGAGACCCCATCTCTACAAAAAAGAAAAAAAAGCCAGACATTGTGGTGGGCACCTGTAATCCCAACTACTTGGGAGGCAAAGGGCAAGAGAATTGCTAAAGGAAGAAAGAAAAAAGGGGGGGGGGAACTGTCAAAGTAGAATGTCAGAGATCTTAACTATCAAACTAAGTACCTAGGAAAAGCAGACATTTCATACTTAGTAACCTAATATTTCTGCTAATTGGCAAATGGGTTGTAGTAGGGTACATTTGTTGAAGCATTTGGTTCTCTGGTCCCTTACAGTAAGTAGAAGCTACAGTTGCATTAACCTGTTCTCTCATTTTTTTTCAGTTCCTCAAGAGACAAGACTTACTGAATGTCCTGGCCCGGATGATGAGGCCAGTGAGTGATCAAGTGGTATGTATTCTACCACTGGCTGTCTATGTACAGACTGAATTATTTACTTCTCAGAGCTTATTCTATATCTGCCCAGATGCAGTTGTCAGGGGGTCCGTCATGTGCTTTTCTTGAGGGAAGGGGATAATACCCTAATTCCACATAAATCAGCTGAATTAGCCTTGGTGAGAAAGAGGGAAAGGCGATTGTCATCTGTAGTTTACCTTCATAGTCAAATTGCTTTTATTTTCAGCAAAAAGCTGGATTTCTTTTTACATTTACATTCAGATAATACATTTTTGGCTAAGTGAGCTAAAATCACAATCTGGGGACCATATATTTGGTATACTTTTTTACTTTATTAAACTAATATGTTGCCAGGCATGGTGCCTTATGCCTGTAATCCTACCACTCTGAGAGGCCGAGGAGAGTGGATAGCTTGAGCTCACAGGTTTGAGACCAGCCTGAGCAAAAAAGCAAGACCCCATCTCTACTAAAAATAGAAAAACTGAGGCAAGAGGATCATTTGAGCCTGAGTTAGAGGTTGCTGTGAGCTATGACATCACGGCACTCTACCTAGGATGTCAGCTTGAGACTGTCTCGGAAAAAAAAAAAAAAAATTAACATGTTAACCCGAATATTATGCCTTTTGTAAGAAGCGCCCTTCCTTCTTTCAGTAAATAATTGTGTTGGTTCCCACTGCTACAAAAAGCATTAAGTATAGAAGAAAGATTCTAGGCTGGACAAGGTGGCTCACACTTGTGATCTGAATACTCTAGGCAGGATTTCAAATTGTTTTATCAGCCAAGGCAGAAGGATTGTTGGAATTTAGGAGTTCAAGAGTAGCCTAAGCTAGAGTGAGACCCTGTTTCTATTAAAAAACAGAAAAAAATTATCTGGATGTTGTAGTACATGCCTATAGTCCTAGCTACTTAGAAGGCTGAGGCAGAAGGATGGCTTGAACCCAGGTGCTATGAGCTACAGTGAGGCCATGGGCATTCTAGCTGGGGGAACAGAATGAGACTCTGTCTCAAAAAAAAAAAAAAAAAAAAACAAAAAAACAAGGATTACATGAAAGTTTCTTTTATGTAAACTAGTAGAACAAGAAATATATATGTGAAAGTACAAAGTAATACTTGGTTAATAAGTATTGTGTTAGTGGCTTGGTGCCTGTACCACAGTGGTTATGGTGCCAGCCACATACACCCAGACTGGCAGGTTCAAACCCAGCCCGGGCCAGCTAAAACAACAATGACAACTGCAACAAAAAATAGCTGGGCATTGTGGCAAGTGCCTGTGGTCCCAGCTACTTGGGAGGCTGAAGCAAGACAATTGTTTGAGCCCAAGAGTTTGAGGTTGCTATAAGCTGTGACGCCACCGCACTATACTGAGGGCATAAACTCTGTCTCAAAAAAAAAGAAAAAAAAAAGTCTTATTTATAGTTGTAAATCCATATATATATATATATATATTTTTTTTTTTTTTTTGAGATAAAGTCTCTCACCCTAGGTAGAGTGCCATGGCTCATAGCTCACAGGAACCTCAAACTCTTAGGCTTGAGCAGTTTTCTTGCTTCACCTTCCCAAGTGGCTGGATGCCTGGCTAATTTTTCTATTGTTAGCAGAGACAGCCTTGCTTTTGCTCAGGTTGAACTCCTGAGCTCAAGCAATCAACCCACCTCTGCCTCCCAGAGTGCTAGTATTACAGGCATGAGCCACTACACCTGGCCCTGTATCTTTATTTTAATTTTTCTAATAAGGCCATGACTTAATCCATGAAAATTTAGAACCCTCTCAGTTAATATTCCTGTCATCCTTTCTTCCATCAAACATAATCTTACGGGCGGTGCTGTGGCTCAAAGAAGTAGGGCGCTGGCCCCATATGCTGGAGGTGGCGGGTTCAAACGCAACCCCTGCCAAAAACTGCAAAAAACCCCATAATCTTATTAGCTAAAAAGGAGAAAAGTTTGCTGTATCTGAGCCATCTTTTTATAGAAATTAATCTTTTTTCCTCTGGATCAGCTGTCCTTTCAAATCTCTATCTCTATCCCAGCTCTCTCTCTTACATTAAGAAAAATAGCCTCAACAGACACAGGACATAATTAATATGACAAATGGAGACTGTGCTTTATAATATCAGACTCTTCAGGCTTATAATTTTCTTTCTGGCCCAATCACAGTGCTAACTGTTTACCTTCCCAGGGTGTTTTCCAACACCAACAACCAATTCTGGGATTCTCTGGATGCCAACTGGATACTTAAAAATTCAGTTCAATTCTGACACTATCTAAGCAGAATTAGTTATCTCACAGGTTGAAGGAAGGGCTCAGTCCCAGAAGACTGCCCTTACTTCAGATGCCGTTTCCAGTCCCAGGTTACCCCTACTGCCACCTGTTGTACTCCTTGCCAACTCACTATAAATCAAGGAATCTCACAACTTCCCTTTCCATCCAACAGTTTCTTAGAATGGCTAACAGAACTCAGGAAAACACTTTACTTACATTTACTGGTTCATTATAAAGGATAAAACTCACGAATAAGCAAATGAAAGAGAGAGGCATAGGGCAAGGTGTGGTGGTAGGGGGTTGCATAGAGCTTTCATGCCATCTCTGAGCATACCACTCTCCCAGCAAAATGGTGTGTTCACCAACTTGGAAGATCTCAATCTTGTTTAGGAGGCTCGTTATAAGTAATGAAAAAATACTATTATTCTGGAAATTTTATTTTATTTTATTTTATTTATTTATTTATTTATTTATTTATTTTTTGCTTATACAAAAGGTGTTTATTGGTGGGGGTGGAGAGCAGTCCCAGGGAGGAGAGAAAAGAGAAGAGAAAAGAGGAGAGAAAAGAGGGGAGAGAGATAAGGAGAGAGTGGGGAAGAGAAGAGAGAGAGAGGCAGGAGAGAAAGAGCTATTCTAGAAATTTTAAAGGTTTGAGGAGCTCTATGACAGAAACCTGGGGCAAAACCAAATATATTTTTTATTATTCTACACTGATTTGGTTTTTGCTAATTTCTGATTTTTTTTTTTTTTTGAGACAGTTTCACCCTATTGCCCTGGGTAGGATACCTGTGGCATCTTCAAAGCTTGTAGCAACCTCAAACTTGGGGTTAAGTGATCCTTCTGCCTCAGCCTCCTAAGTAGCTGGGACCTGGGACTATAGGCACTGGCCACAACACTCAGCTGGTTTTTCTATTTTTAGTACAGATGGGGTCTCACTCTTGTTAGGGTAGTCTTGAACTCCTGAGCTCAAACAATCTACCCACCTCGGCCTCCCAGAATGCTCGGATTGCAGGCATGAGCCACCGTGCGTGGCCTCATTTCTGATTTTTGGACTTAAGTACTCCTATATAAACCTGTATCAGTATTCTATTGCTACATAACTCATTACCCAAATTTTGCAGCTTAAAATAATACTCATTTATTACCTCAATTTATAGGTCAGAAGTCCAGCATGGGTTAGCCAGATCCTCTGTTCAGAGTCTCACTAAACTAAAATCCGAGTGTCAGCAAGGTTGGCTGGAGTTCTCTGCAGCTTGGGATTTTCTTCTCAGAGTCATTCAGATTGTTGGCAGAATTCAGTTCCTTATGGCTGTACATCCCTATTTTCTTGTTAGCTGTTAGAGAACTACTCTCAGCTCCTAAAAGCCATCCTTGGGTCCTTACTGCCCCTCTTAACCCACCCCCCCAATAAGCCCTTTCACACTTTGACTTTCTTCTTCAAGTAGGAACCAGTCTCTTTTAAGGACTCAACTAGATGAGGTTGTACATCCAAAACTAATTCAACTAAGTCAGTCAATTTCACTTAATTCAAAATCAATTGATTAGGGGCCTTCTGCCATATAGGAGCATAATTATGTGATATTCCATCGTATTCACAAATCCTACTCACTTAATTGGAGGATATATATACCAGGAGGTGAGAATCATAGGGGTCATTTAGAAATCTGCCTACCACAGAACCTAACAAATGGGTTTTGTTATTGTTGTTTTTTAAAGCAAATAAAGGTAACCATGAATGATGAAGACATGGATACCTATGTGTTTGCTGTTGGCACACGGAAGGCCTTGGTGCGACTGCAGAAAGAAATGCAGGATCTGGTATGTGAGGTTGTTTTAACTCAAATATACAGGGAAACTGTGGCTTTTCATTTACATAGATGTTAACTTCATAGCATAGGCAATTAGTTATATCACTTGAGTGTTTGAAACACCACTTTGAAATAGGTCAGTATGTATCCTTTTGAGGGGGAAAGAATTCTTCTTTGTGCAGAATAAAATATTATGTCTTACTTTGAATTACTTCTTCTTCTAGAGTGAGTTTTGTAGTGATAAACCTAAGTCTGGAGCAAAGTATGGATTGCCAGACTCCTTGGCCATCCTGTCAGAGATGGGAGAAGTCACAGAGGGAATGATGGATACAAAGGTAAGTACCATAGAAGACATACATTTGCTAGATCCTTCATTTACAGGATGCGCTTGCTAAAAGTCTCACTGTATAGATTCTTCATTTGATGGCAATGCACCAATTATGTATTCCTCTCCCACACAATTATTAAAATACCTTCTTTAAGCAGTAGATTAACTTGTCAAAAAGACAATTTGATTAGTCAAGGTCTCTGTAAATCAAGAGCAAATTGTTCCTTGGTTTTCTAATGACTTTCAGGTTTTTGAGAAAGAAATAGTTTTCCTCCTTTCATCATGTCATTTAGTCCTTTTAGGGGGAGGCAGGCTTCAGTTAGTGTGGGAGAAGAGGGATGTATAGAGACCACCCTCCTCTCTTTTTTAAAAGAGATAGGGT